CCGGGTCCAGAAATTCTGAAACTGGAGAAAAATGAACAGAAGGAAATTCTAAGGGTCCACGACTCAACGAAATGTGAAAATGAATCCTGTACGAGAATCCAAGCTCCAGACGAGACATTTTGCAATAACTTTCGTTAATTGCATAATGGCCCTACAAAAAGTTTTGCCCTAGAATGAAAATATCTTCCAAAAGATATTTTCTTCGATACCCCATAAATAAAATATCTTCAAAAGATATTTACGAAAAACACCCCAAGAAAAGAAAAAATTCTGAAGAATTGTGCATCCATGCCCTTATGGACACCTGGAGCAACCAGAGTACTTTCTTGCAAAAGTGAAGATACGTATTTCGAGGAAACCACTCAAGATGAAGGCACGTGAAGTCAAAAACTAAATCAGAGCATGAAAAGTGAGGTTTTTCCAAACAAGTGACAAACGGGGAAAAGACAGAAACAGGGAAAAGGACGAAAGACGTATAGTGTCCGAAAAGTGAAAATGCAGAATTGACTCGATCCTCAAAGGAAGTTGTCAATCCACGGAAGAGAGTCTCAGAAATCATTTCCAAGCACTCGAGATGACACTAAGCGACGAGAAACAGAGCTTAGAAAGGAAAATTAAACGGAAAAAAATTATTCGTAAAATTTCAAGAAAAAGGAAAGGAAGGCAAATGACCGGGTCGTTACACAACAAACCCAAATTGAGCAACACCCACTCCAAATATCCCCATTGCACCCTATTATATGCCTTAGCCATGTCCAATTTCACTGCGATGTATTTATTGTTTCTCCCCCTACGGCGTTTAAGATAATGTAACACTTCATGGGCGACTAAAATATTGTCAGTAATCAATCTGCTGGGAACAAAAGCACTTTGTTCTTGACTAATAATTGATGACATCAATGGTTTCAACCTATTAGCCAAAACCTTAGTAAAGATTCTAATAATAACATTACATAGAGAGATTGGACGAAAGTGAGATTTTTGTTGGTACCTTTACTTTCGGAATAAAAACAATATTGGTCGCATTAAGGCTCTTGAGAAGCTGGTCGCTATGAAGAAAGTCATTAAACGCTTGTAGAATATCTGTCTTAATGATATGCCAGAAACTCTGAAAGAAAATAGGACTTAAACCATTAGGACTTGGTGCCTTAAAAGCCCCTATCTCCATAATGGCATGATACAATTCAAGCTCTGTAGCAACCTGCAACTCCATCCGAAGTGAACAAATTTTGAAAAAATTTGTTAGCAATATTTCTAATTTGTATTTCATTAAAGCACCAATTTCTATCTTCATCTTCCAATCTCCCTATAGCATTCCTTCGGCGATGTTTCAAAGCAAACGAATGAAAAAATTTTGTATTGCGATCACCTAACTTCAACCAATCAATTCTGGATTTTAGTTTCAAGAACAACTCCTCAACCTTCCATGCCTCTCCTAATTCCTTCTCCATTTTATGATACTTAACCGAATTGAAAGTTCCTGGATGCTTCTTCATCTGCTTCAATTGAGTTTCTAGGTCTCAAATCTTGAACTGTGAATTCCAGTGTGTATGATGACTCTAATTCTTGAGTGAGTGTCTACAAGTATTAATCTTATGTTTTAATTAAAATTGTAGCATACCTCGACAACTTGTTTGCCAATATTCTGCCATAATTTTAGCACACGCATCAGATTTCAACCACCGAGCATCAAATCGAAAACTTCTGTCGTTGTATACCAGTTGCTAAGTTAAAGACAACACAATAGCTGAATGATTAGAACCGAAAATACTGATGTGGGAAACAGAAGCATGAGTAAAATGAGTGCTCCATTCATGGGTAGCAAGTGCTCTGTCCAACCGTTCAGGAACATTGGCATTACCATCCCGCTGATTACACCAAGTAAAAGGATAACCAGAATAGCCCAAATCAACAAGATGCATTGCTCCACAAAGTCTCGAAACACTCTTAATTACCAACCTTGCTTCCGTTGCCCCCCAAATTTCTCCTCTGGATACAATAAATCATTAAAATCGCCTATTAGAACCCATCGTTGTGATAGCCATGATTGAAGTTGTTGCAAGTAATGCCACTGCTCCATACGTTGCCTGTCATCCACAGAGGCATAAACACCGGAAAAACACCATTCTTCTCCAACTGATTGCCCATTAACTTTGCAAGTAATTTGAAACTCTTTAACATCCAAAATTTGAAGGTTAGTATCTTCATCCCAATACACTGTAATTCCACCTGCAGTACCTATTGGGTCTTGAAACAACATATGTCGATACCCTAATTGTCGCCGTATCCGCTCCATACAAACTCCAGAATTTTTTGTCTCCAGTAAGAGAAGTACATTTGGAGAATGGTGAAACACCAATTTCTTTAATTGACGAGTGGTTAGAGGGTTTCCCACTCCCTAACAATTCCAACTTAAAATCTTCATAAGATGTTGAGAAAAGCGAAAGGAAGATAATGAAATTGGAATCGAAAAAAGCGCACACAACGATCAGTTGAATTACAGAAGAGAGGAAGACAAAAGAATAAATTAGGGCACAAAACAATGAAAAGGGGGAAAAAAGTCGGCGCAAAACAAAAGATAGAGAAAAGGAAAGACAGTCGAAGAAGGAATCAGAGAGAAATAAGAGGACAACAAAACAGGAAGGAAAAGAAATCAGCAATCGGAAAAGGCCGATATAAGAAATAAAGAGAAGACAAAAGTCAGAACGATAAAACAAAAAAAAAGAAAAAAAAGGAGGGGAGTGGATGGATGGAAAAGAGAAAATAAAATTATTGGAGAAAAATATATGGAAATCAAACCTGAGAGACAACACTAGAGGATCAAAGGATCAGGTAACACCACTCCTCGAGAAATCGAGCAAATCGCTGATCACAAAAACCTCGACAGTAGTGAGGAACAAGCAACCGGTTGATCAAGTTGGAGAAATAGATTCAACAACCAACAACAGCCACAAAACCGTCCCCAAACAGAAGATCAAAAACACGACGCTTGATAGAACAAGCAAACCTCTAATCACGGAGAACCCTCGACGGCGACGAGAATCCCTAAGCATGAGACCATTCCACAATGATAAACAAGATTCAAGTAGCCACTAATGCGCAGTTAAGACAAGACTTTGTTGAGTTGAGTTATCCATTCACGTTTGATCTTTCAATTAGGGGTCATCCCAAGTCACTATACAACCTACTCAATAATATTAATTACATATTTAAAATTTAAGTTTTATGTGGATTTGTATGTCACATACACCCTAAATGTCACTTTTCAGATATAAATGGCTATCTACTCCTCTGACTTCTTGTTGACTCACAAAAATACAGCCAAGTGACCCATAGAAATTGTTGTGTGGATGCACCCCTGATAGCCATTCTCAACAAAGCACGAGAACCCAACACCACCCCGACCCAACACCTCCATCACCACCCCCACTCAAAGACGATTAATATATGTCATCAGCCATTTTCTCTGTTTGTTATGCTCGTGGTGACTGCAAACGAAAACACTACGGGTGTGTTTGGATAGTATTAGTTATGAGAGAAAAGAAAAGAAAAAAAATGATAGTTTAGTGAGAAAAGAAAAGAAAAGAAAGGATAGGAATAATTTCTATTTGTGTTTGGATAGAAAGGGGAGAAAAGAAAAGATAGTTATTCTTGTTTGGATAAGATAGAGGAGAGAAAAAAAAAAGAAAGGATAATAGACATTATTTTTTTATCCTTTCATAATCACGGGACTTGAATGGAATAATAAATCTGTGTATTGATTTGTGGAGGCTAATTTTGGTATTAAGAGAAAGCAAATGAAAGATAGGGAGGGATGCTATCCCTCCCTATCTCTCCTTATCCCTCCCTATCCCTCCACTTAATTTACCCAAACACACACTACACTATCCTCTCTTTTCTTTTCTCTTTCTATCCCTCCAAATCAACCCTACCAAACACACCCTACATGCCGTTGTTCAGGAATAACAAAAAGTTTATTTATTTTTATACACACAACAAACACCAGCATCCCTCCCCCAAATTACACGCCTATACCCGGATATAACGTGCTTATGGATTGGATTCACCAACTTTCTCTCTCTGATCAACTTTTTAATTGTTGTTCTATATATATATATATATATATATATCATCTTCAATCCAAACAAAACCCTACCCTACTGAACCCTTAATCTCTTGGAAAAATCCATCGCGAACACAATCTGAAATCCAAACACCAATCGCAACCCCAAACGCTCAACCCATCCCACCTTTACCTTCAGAACCTAAGCCAGGAAACCCAACAGCGACAATAGCCACGCCGCGACTACCATTGTGCCTTCACTGGAGTCTTCCTGGATTGTCACCAATGTCGATCGCTGTCTACGGCCGATCATTGCCCACCGAATGCCTTAAACAGCCCCAAAACTGACAATGTGAATCTTCATCCTTCTGTCAGTGGCTTCGAGGATGCTTGGTTCGCTGTCAAATGGGTGAATTTGGAGTACTGTGAACTGGAAGAGGAACCCCTATATATATATGTTTGAGAGAGAAAGTAAAAGAAAGCAATTGTACATCCTCGACGCATTGACGCTTTGGATCGGTGAGGAAATCTGCGATTACTTGAGGGGGCACGCCGGCGATGACGATGGCGACTTGGACGGCGGTGGAAGGGGCGACGGGATTTGAGGACGAGGCAGGGTCCTCCTCGTTATCATCGACAGTCTTCTTGGGGGTGGATCATAACAGAGGCGCGTACCAAGACATTCGTATATACATATTTGTGTAAATAGATGGAGATATATGAAAGAGGGTGTGATTTGGAATATATAGGGGCATTTCTGTTATATAAGTTAATAGATTTTTTTTTTGTATTAAATTGTATTAAAAAATGGGATAAATGGATCAATTTGTCTTAGTTAATTTTTAAAAAGTAATGTGAATTGTAATTAAAAATTAAAATTAAAATTAAAATAGCACTATCCCAGCCATAATTGTTGGTGCTATTCAATTTTTAAAACTTCATTTAAGCTCTCTCTCGAGATATATATAAGTAGTATAGATAGCGATTTGATTTTCCTTCTCTTCACAGCTGCTACAATTAACTTTAAAAGAGGAGCCTCTCTCTCCATTTTCCTTCTCTCTTTTCATGGATTTCTTCAAAACCGTTTTCTCAGACGATCTGGAACTTCCTTCAGATTCCCAAACCACACCTACCTCACCACCCAAACCCCAATCGCATGATCACGATCCTCAACCAGAACCCTCATCAAACCCTAACCCTGATCTTGGCCCTAACCCCAACCCTAACCCTGGAATTTCGACCATAACCAATGCCTGGACCTTCGGCAGCAGCTTGATCAAAACCCTAGCTTCCAGATCCGAATCCGTCATCGAAACCTACCGTCGCGATCTCGAAGAGTTCGGCTCCGGTCTCAAGAAGGAGACCGCCGTCATACGCGGCGTCGCCAGCCGAGCCGTCAAGGACCTCCCGACGTCTCTCGAGGCCGGCGCAGCAGTGGCGCAGGAGTCCCTCGAGTCCGTCGGCCAGGCGATCGACGATTTCGGGAACTCCGTGTCTGTGATCATCGCTCAAGGTAAGGATTCGATTCTGGATAATGATTCTGATACCGATTCCTTTGATTCCAAACAAATTAGTAGTAGTAATGAGCACAATTTAAATTTGAATTCGAAACCCTACAGTAGGTTTGAGTCACAGGTTCGTGCGATTCAATGTGATATGAACACGTATTGTGAGGAACCAGAGGATTTGAAGGAGTACAATGAGTGGAAATTAGGGTTTGTGCTGGATGAGAAGGGTGAGGAGATTGAGAAGTTAATTGAAGAAAATGGAGTAATTGAAGAGATCTATAATGAGATTGTTCCGGGTAAGGTTGATCGCGAAACGTTTTGGAGTCGATACTTTTATAGGGTATATAAGATTAAGAAAGCAGAGGAGGCCAGAGCTAAGCTTGTGGAGAGGGCGATTTCGGGAGAGGAGGAGGATTTGAGTTGGGATGTTGATGATGATGACTATGAAGAGAGTGACGAGTCTAAGTCTAAGTTGAAGAGTGATTCGAGAAGAGAAGTTGAAGAGAAACCATCTTCCGGAAAGGAGGTTGAGAATTCTGTGGTTGAAAGTGAAGGGAAGGGTTTGAAAGGAGAAAATGATGAGAAGGGGGTTTCTTCCGAATTGAAAGGTGAGAATGTGGTTGATGAGTCTGAATCGAGTGGCAATAAACTCGAGGCAAAATCTGATGAAAAATTGGGTTCAGAAGGGAAGGCAGATAACGGCGGGTCTTGCAAAGATAGTGATTTTTCGGTTATTTCTACGCAACCCTCAATGCACGAGGAAGAAGAAGACCTGAGTTGGGATGAGATTGAAGACCTCGGGAACAATGATGAGATTAAGGTGACTGCAAGTGGGAGTCCAAATAGAGCTGATTTGCGGAAGAGGCTGAGTGTTGCTGAAGAAGAGGAAGACCTGAGTTGGGATATTGAAGATGATGATGAGCCTCTGCCTGTTAAGTCATGATCATTTATACATCTCAAGATAATATATTTTCTTGAGTCATTGTTTACTCTCTCTAATGGGAATACTTTTCAAAACTGTTTATTCTTATGATTTGATGGTAATCCATAATCACTTGGTGGCTTTGTTGTCATAATGTAAATGTGTTCCTTTTGTATCTATTAAACAAGCTCGAGCAATTATATATCCGTTTTATTATCATATTTCATTTGTTTACTTTATTATGTTAAGTGAAAATTTTTGGGTATGTGTAGACATGGATTTGCTTGATATCTTCAATGTGTTCATTGGGAAAGATTACTTGTTATCTATGATATTTCAAAACCGTGTGCTTGGTTGACTTTTTCCCTGCAATTTACTTGTGTTAGTGTTTTGTTTCATTGTCGTAGCATTTTCTAAACTGTTTTCTCTTGAATTCCCTCTTGAATTCCCTGATTTTTCAACCTAATGCGACATTCCGAGTGGTCATTTTCCCTTTCCAATTAAGTTTTCAGATCTTAATAGCTAGGTAATGATCTGCAGTAGACACATTGAAGTTATATGTTACATGATAGGAATCCATTAAAACTGTCCATTTGTGGCAGTTATTGTGCTATTCTTTGATTTGTAAATGAATTTGAATTTCCATTTCTTGATATTCAAACTTAATTGACTGTTTGCCTTCCAGGAAAGTCTTCTACATGTGCATTCATGTACTACTATAATGGCATGTTCCCTTTGATTTAAACATTTCTCATTCACTCTTGAACTTAGAAATTCTTCTCCATATGGGCATTACCAGCTACCTAGTTGGTCCTGCAGCCGGTGTGTCACAGGAGTCCCCCTCCGCCTAGTTCTTCACCATTTGTGGAACCTTTTTAATTCTTGTGCTTTTGAGTCCTCTTGTTCAAAGTATGATGTCATGCTTGAAGTTATTGGTTTTTATTAGATGTTCCCAGACATCTTGTCAGTGGCCAAATCTGGCTAAGAGCTTCTTTCTGCTTCTCATTTATCAAAATTGATCACTGCATTTCACCTTCAACTATTGTTGTGAGATTTATATATATCACTCACAAATGCATGAATCTTTACAGATAGGGCTTACTTGTAACAGTGTCGTATCCAAGAAACTTGTGTAGATTAAGTTTGTCAATAGATTTCTTAAATTCCAAATTAACTTGAAAGTATGATATAATCGAATTGTGATGATTAATTTTAAATTAACTAAGTAAAAAAATAAAATAAACTAAAGAACAATAATTAAATAAGATGTAAAAAAGAGAGAGAGAGAACTAGGGAAATGATTTCACCACTAACGTCGCACCACCAGTTAATTGCATCAATTTATTGGAGATATACAATATAACATGCAAAGGGAATAAATCATAGCTACAAGCACATATTAATTTAGTTATAAAATAATATAATTTAAAACTAAGTATGGACTATCTTCAATTGGTATAAACCATCGACCTATCTATTTTACTCTAGGGTGTAGCATGGTTTATCTTTTCTAGACATAATTCATCAAATCTCTAACATTATGTTAAGAGAAATACCATTGTGTAATCATCTCATTGACAACTACAAGAAGTGAATGAGTTGTGTTCAATCACAAGATTAAAATATTTAAGACAAGATAGAAAAATATATATAATTGAATTAGAACTCTAAAACCGATTCTTATTGAAAAGTCAATTAAAAATCCTATAGATTTCACAATCATGCATGATAAAAATTGTTATCCAATAAATAAATACAATCAAACCAGTGTGCTAAGTTAGGCCACATCACAACCTTAGCAAAGTGTTAGCCAAGCATGACTGGAGTAGAATTCTTCATGATTGAGGAAGACATTCACCGCCATGGATCGATCTCTTCTTTCTGCCGAATGCTCCTCTCTGATCTCAGCCTCAAGCTCCTCTGTATGATCCCTCAATGTTGTAGAGGACTCCTTTTAAATAATAAAAGATTCTCCCTAAAGTTCCCTTTTTTATATAAAAGACATACATAGAAATTCTGTCACATAAGGACTCCAAAATTCGTACAGACTTCCAACCCAATTTTGACAAGGTCGCATGTCATACCAATATCTTTTTCTGTGTAGGAGTGCGAATGTCCGAGTCCTGTGCTTAAAAGAAGCAGAGAATGGTTAAATACTGAGAATACAAGAAGCTTACCATCTGGAAGTCAAAATCTCTACAAATGCCTGTATGAATAATTTCAAGACCAACCATCAAATTTCCAGAGCAATAAATATGTTCACAATTCTTCAAAATTAGGATTGAATGAATTGAAGCCAACCTCGGTGGTGCTTCAATTAGCCGATAGATCCATCAAAACACCTAAGGGCATGGTTGAGGATATACTCATCAAAGTTAACAAATTCTACTTCCCAGTTGATTTTGTGGTTCTGCATGCATCCATGATATCTGACTGTTATTTTTTTCTCTTCTACTTACGTAAGTTAGGAACTCAGCCGACTAAGTTGGGAACTTAGTCTGCTAAGTTGGGAATTGGAGAGTGGGTTGTAATGATGTCAAGAGTTGTTTGTTGGATTCTAACATTTGCTTGTTTAGAGATTCCATCATTTACTTGTGCCACCGAGCACACTGTTGGAAGGATAATGAAAAACTAATCAAGATGGACTCAAGAATTGCATTATTTGGAGTCCAAATGAAGGAAAAAGGGCAAGACGAAGAAAATTGTAGCGGGAATTTAACTATTTTGACACTCCAGGAGAGAGATATAGCCAGATTACCAAAATGGGTTCAAATTACCAACTTTGGCGATAGTTTCGTTTTTGGAGAAGGATTTTTTCTTTTTTTCTTCTTTCCATTCTCATTAACTTATGACTTTTTTTAGACTATTTTTTAAATATAATTAGACTTCGATCTTCAACATTGCTCGGTCCCACAAAATGTAGTCTTTTAAAACTCAGCATCACTTGACTGATTTTACAATTAAAGCCTTGAAATAAATAAAAATAATAAAATAATGTAAAATCATAAATAAACTATTATTAAAAAAATAAAATATACAAATAAAAAGGCTAAAATGTATAACATTCAGCGCCTAACAACCACGAACCAACCTTTTAAAAAGCTTTCTAAATATATTTTCACATTCCTTGCTTGAATTAAAAGCATACTAGCCTTTTTGCTTTTTGCAAGAACAATGATGACACATATGCTTTAATTGAACTTCTTATGAAAGATGGGTAATAGTTTATTGGTATTTTCTCTACCTTTTTAATTGGACTCCTTATGGAAGATGGGTAGTAACTTAGTAGTAATATTTTCTCCAGCTTTTTAAGTGCAAGGTCAATGGTTTCCTCTCCTTTCAATTTGTGAAAGGTGGAGGGTTTGACTTTTGAGAGCCTCCCCAAGTGCAAGGTGGGAGTTAAAAAAAAAGGGTAAAATTCTCTTATTAGGTTCACATTTTTTTTTTTAATATATATATTTTTTCATAATTGGTGTTGTAATAAAAAAAGAAAAATAAGAATTAAAGGTACACAGCATACCCTCAGCAAAGGCCAATAAAGAAAAGAAAAGCTTTTTGGATTTTATTCAACAAAGTTAACTCATTAGGTTCTTGTACACACACACAAAATGGATTTTTTGGAAGCCCACTAATTATAAGACATTTAGTAATTTAGGGTGTGTTTGACAACTATATTTTGGTTTGTGTTTTTGCTTTGACCAGAAATAATGTTTATATTTTGAAGAATGTTTAATACTATTCCGAAGCATATTTGGTAATGTATAGTTGTAAGATTTTTAGAAACAAAATTATGAAAATTAGTGCAAGTTTGAAAAATTAAATGACTAGTTAAAATGATAATTTTAATTTTTTTTTTTTTTTTAACAATGTTTTTGATTTAGCCTCTTTTTCATAATTGTTTTGATACCATTCGAAGCAGAAACAATTGTCAAACATGCCCTTAGTGTCAAAAAAAAGTTGCTTCCTGGTGCTGGGTATGTCCCAGTGATGGCTTCATCATGTAGTGGTGCGAGTCGGATCTCACGTTGAATATTGAGTGGATCTGGCATGGTCGAGTTGGATATCAGTGGATCCGGAATTTTGGGGCCGTCGATTACTTTACAAACAACTCAATAACATTGAATAATTCATGGGTACCACCGAAGAGTGTCAACCGTACAAGAGACCAATTATAAATCAAGATTAAATGGTGTCAACTTATTGATGGACAAAATCACTCTTTTACTTATTCTATAAATTTGTAGATAAAAATTAAATAAAAACATTTTTCTAGGACTTGCATAAAATTATTAAAATATTTTTTTTTTCTTAGTTTGTACTCACACAATCCCTCTAAAGAATTGTTTACATTTTTTCGAAAGTAATAAAATTAATTTTTACTGTCAATATACCTTTTTGGCTTTTTTTAAAAGAAAGTCTCAAAATGCACCAATACGATACTTTTATAATATATGTTAATAAAATATATATATATATGTGTGTGTGTGTGTGTGTGTGTCATTTTTATTGAATTTTTTAAAACCATTTAGCAGAAGTAATTACCTAATTATAAATTTTAAACTGGTGTTATTGTTAAAAAGGTTTAGTAATTATACCTTTACAAAATTAATAAATGATAATATAATTAAGGATGAAATAAATAAAAATTCATACCTTATAACATTACCAATTATGATTTTTTTTTTAAAATAAAAATAAAAATGAAATGAAAGTTCTAAAATAATGTAAAAATAAAACAAAATACAATGGGGAGAGTCAGTGGCAAAAAAAAAATATGATAAATTTGTGAAATCATATTAAGGATGGAAATGAACCGATTTGTTCATTGAATAGCTCAGACTCGTTCATTAAGCAAAAGAGTCGATCCTGAATAATGTTGGGCTCGGTTCGCGTAGGCTCATCACAGAAATTAATTTTTGCTTGTGAACATAGGCTCTTAGGCTTGTATATGTTCGTGAACCATAGGCTCATATATAGGACGGAGCCAATGTAGGCCCTAGGGGGGGCACATGCCCCTAGCCTGGCCCCGCCCTCTACAATATATTTGGTATTTTCTTGATTTTTTTTTCCATATATATGAAATTTTTTATACTTGCCCCCTAAATATTTTAGTTTCTAAAATTATCTTTTAACTTTTTCTTTAATTTCTCTTTTATTCTTCTAAATCCTTTAATTTCTTTAAAAGAAAAAAAATCAAATTTTCCTTCCTCGATGGAAATCTAACTTTTTCTCTCTGCTTTTTTTATCCTTTTTCTTTTTCTACTTTTTAAAATTCTTCTTTTTAACATACATATTAGAATAATTTTCTTCTTTTATATTTTATATTTTATATTTGTCATATTATATATATAGAGGCTCCTTATAGGGCTAGATTATATTTGTCTCTATTTTTTTACTCCGTATTGAAAAATTTTAATATTTGGAAGTATAAAATAAAAATACAATAATTTAATTAAGCTGGACCACATCGCGAGGGATGTATTCTCGGTGCTGCTGACGTATCAATAGATCGATCTAAAGCGGGAATAAGATTGCTGATCAGAACTTGATCTAAGTTGTGGTAAAAAAGATGAACAAATAAATCTGGATTTTCTGGATCTATGATGAAACCAGAGGGAGATGGAGGCATTCCACCCTTCTCCACATTCGAATTGTTCCAAACAGAAATGGAGATTTGGTAGGATATAATTTCAACTTTCGACTAGTGATTTGGGGTTTAATTTGGCGATCTCTTCAATTTGGGAAAAGAAAAATTGGGAAGTATCATCAATTTGGAATTTTTTTTTATCCTCTCCTTCCAAACAGAGATCGCGATTTTGTATGGATAGGATTTCAACATTCAACGATTGATTCGGGTTCAATTTGGTGATCTCTTCAATTTGGAAAAATAAAAAATAAAAAATGGAAAGTAAGATAAATTTGGAAATTTTGTTTTATTTATACATCTAACAGTTTTTTAACATTTGGTGATAATTAGGTAGCAAGGGCAGCTTCGTCATTTTAAATTTACAGCCTGTGCATTTGATGATCACGCTCCTATTTAGCCGGATGAATCAAACGGAACCTTGCCGGTGGGAAACTTTTGCAACAATTTTGATAGTTTTAGGGGCTAATTGTAATAATAAAAGTTCAGGGGAGTTTTTAGGGAGAGAGAGTAAAGTTCAGGGGGTTATTTGCACTTTACCCTTCTTCTTTTTATGTGTGAATGCAGCAAGTTGGTTATTAACAAGGTATGCATATTAATGACTTGGCATGCCCGACTTATCCAACATCTATTTGGAGTGTATCTAGTTTGACCCGGGAAAAGCCTCGGTTTTTAATTACTACAGGTACGAAGTTGTTGTTGGCTTGAACCGAACCGGACCATTTTAAACGTAACGGCTAAATCCGGTTTTTGTAATCAACCGGTTCTCTTCTGAATTTGGAATTCACCAATATATATTGGTGAGTCCAATCCAAAAGCCGTTGCACGTAATAGTATTGTAACTTTTTTAATTATTGCAGTTTCTAAGCTGCTGCTGAACTCGAATCTTGGGCCGTTTTCAATATAATGGCGTGTATTTCTATGTATTGATGAGTCAGACATTACCCGGCCCATGTATTTCTATGCATCTATGAGTCAGAACATTACTCCACCTAGTTTTGATAGATGCGCTCATGTTCTAATCTCCAATCCCTTAGTTTGCTAGGCGTTTCTATAACCAATCGATTTTTGTATGATAGATATGTTCGTGTTCGAAAATCCCCACTCCAGACTTTTTTATGATGGATATGTTCGTGTTCGAATCCCCACTCCCTTAGTTTGCCTGCATTTCTGTACCCGGTCGGTTCTTATATGAAATTGGAACTCACAATGAGTCTCCGCCATTCCAAAACCATCATACTATATGGGAATCATTCCAGGACCATTGCATTTAACTTAAACCCTACTTCATTTAGCCGCATTGAGAGTACTATTTTTCCTGTAGTGCCTTCATTCTAAGACACGACAACGAATATTAACATATAAAGATCTTCTCAAGAGCAAAGTAAACCAACCTTCTCCGTGGTTAATTAACACATTTGTGGAATTAAAGTAGAGCTTGGCTAGGCAATATTGATTAGAACAATGGTACTTTGGCCGATAGCTCGGACCTAAAACCCTAGCCGAAGGACTTTTGTCCTTTAGATATTGTTTCAAGTGAACCAAAGGTAAATAAGGCTTCAACTAGTGTTTTAGGTCAAACAAATCAGCCTGAATATCAATTTCCTATGGATTATGGAGAATAAAACCTGCATTCCATGTTAATGAAGTTTTCCCATCCCCGGCATTTATCCCCAAAAAGCCAAACTAGGAGTAATAACAACGCCAAACTGACAGCCCATTCTCTTCAGTTTCAACCACAATTAACCTGTTGGGCAGGCTCACAAGTCCTCCCAGTATACATATACAGCTATATGATTCCTAATAATTTCATACCTAAAAATATATTCTGTCCAGAAAATTAGTTCATAAACTGATCACAAGGTCGAATAGTTGCCTTGTGCTTTGTGTTCATGCAGAATCGCAGTCAAGTAGTAGTTTATTTCTTAAACTGCACAGTAAGATGCAAAGAAGGTGAAAAAGAAAATTCATTCAACATTAACATAGGCAAGCAACCGCAAAAACAGCCACTCAAGTGTTAGATGTGCAAGACTTAAAATCACAAACGTATTGTTCAACAGTAATATATGAGTGCAAAGGGAGAGATGCATATCATATCCACAGAGGTGTTTAGTTATGGAAAAACGTCATATTAACCGAATGATAGTTTCAGGCAAACCGCAGGTAGGTAGAGTGCACCATAGAACTAACTGTCTGACTGCCTGAGCACTCGCAGAATGGAAAGGAACAGGTTCAGAAGATCCAGATAGAGAGTGACTGATGCCCAAATGTACTCGTCATATGTGAATCGCTTGATCAGGTTATCCGTGTCATAAACGATGTACGCTGAGAAAACTATAGCACTGAGTCCACCATATATAGCAACAGAGGTAGACCCAAGCGGGAAGAACATCTGCAGAATATTTCAAGATTCACTAGGTTAGATGCATGTCGTCGTAATTGGATAGCAAGGAAGAATTTTATTTTGGAAGGGGGGATTTTAACCTGTATAAAACCGGTTAAGAGGAGGACAATAAGGCTGGTGAACAGAATTGGTCCAAGATAGCTGAAGTCCTTGCCCCTTTTAGAAGCCCAGAAAGTGTAGGCGGTAAGGGATGAAGCCACTGCTGATGTTAAAATCAAGGCTTCAAGCACAATTTTTCCTGCAAACTCCCAATGCAAAAAGAAATCAAACAGTACTCAGTACTAAAAAATCATAAAATTAGGGAGAACTCATGCAGAAAACAAATCACCCATCTTAAGCTATGAGGAAAAGGAGACCCACCATCTGTATTAGCACAGCTTACGCCAACGGTGAGACTCAGACACACAGTAAAGAGTCCAAGGAAAATCAAGTTCAGTGGATGTTTTTGCTGATACACATACATGGGCCACAACACTGCATAAAATTCAGGTTCATTAGTAAATCATGGCTAACATGTAGCTATCTGATAACCATCCACAAAAATTCAAAGAAATAATTCGTACACAACCCAGTGAGATAATGGCTGTTACTAATAGAAACATTGCATACATAATGTCCATGCATTTGTTTGGACATTTTACTGCTATATTACTCAGGATGGTCTATTTTAATGCTTGGGCACATTGAATACCATTATTTCTCTTTCATACCTCCAAACCATAGTTGCACTTTTTGTCTTTTTTTTGTAGCAATATATCGATAAGCTATATCTACATCAACATAGGTAAATTTTTCACTGGTTATTATGCATTTACTTTCCCAGGTACTAGATATATTTTACATATATTCCCATTCCTGAGAAACATATATCAAGTCTAAAAGCTCATCCATAAAACAAAATTCAGTATGAAATTTAAATATACAAGTATAGAATTAATCCTTGCTAAACAGAAAGAACATTAACAATATCATTCACCCCAAAAAGATTTCATACAAGACAAGAGAAAGCATGAATGGATTTTAAACAGATTCAAACAAAATATTTCCCGTACTTCACATTGAAAAAAAATAGAAATACCATTTTGCTGCTGTTGCTAATATTATCAAAATCATTTACTCGCTATTACATAAGGTACCAAGGTAAATCAGACCTCAGACAAAAAATTAAGATAAAGGCACACTTCTTTACAGTTCCACTGCCAGTGAAAAGAAACTACTTGATACTAAAGAAAACCCAAATTGATCTTCTTTCTTATCAATGACTTTTACAACTGACTTTAATACAGTACCATCCTAGATTTATTGTTTTATTTTTTTTTTTCACCAGCAAGAAACTGAAATCAGATCAAAGTACATCACCTAGAGAATTAGAAACTATACACTCAGGAAATTCATTTGTGAAAACTACATGAAATTTATCGCCCGCCATAATATCAGCTACCCCATTTGCCTCTCATGGTACATAAACCAGTTTAAAAGATTGCCATTGCTGAAGCATGATTTAATCTCTTCTATCACAGTGGACAACAAAATGGAACAAGCTCCATTCCCATTCACAGCCTTTTCGAAATCTCAGAATCTGATTCAAATATCAGATCCATTAGACCAAAGCCTCTCCAACAGTACTGTAAAGGATATTGCAGAAAAAAAGCATAGCTGTTTTAACAACTATGCCACAACTATTTCGAACAACAATCCCACCCCCTGCCTCCAAGGAATTGACTTTAAAAAAACCATGCCGTGGCTTTATCCAAGAATAACTGGATGAAGAATCAATTGAACCTATAACAAGATTTCTTGGAACCTGTAAAAGAGGTATCCACAACCTCCATAAACACCATACAATGTGAACCAACTATTCTTGCAATCTCAGTGGCATCCCACATCTGATTCTTGAAAATCCAGGTATTTCTAGCCGTCCATAATTGCCAACATACAGTTGCAGCCAAAGACTTTTAACAGCATTTGGTTTCAAATTTATATACTAGAGTTATGACTTAACTATTAGTACTACACATGCATTAATCAAGAAAACAAGATCAAGAATGAGTTATCTTATCAGTTGTCTTTCTTAGTAATGAGAATCTTGATGCCCGAGTGTTGCTATTTTAATTTTACTAAAAAAAATTTAATGCAGAAGTGCAGGGGAGGGTGAAGGCAGGGGAGGGCCTAGCTGATGATGTTGATAGTCACCAACCGACTCTCCAAAAAGTAAAAAAATAAAATAAAATCAACACAAACAAGGAAATTTCGTATTTTCTCGTCTGCGAAACATTTACTAAAGCTAAGATATGTAGGAAATGATATGTTTTCCAATGTATATACATACATATATATATAAGAAAATGTATATAAATATACATAGAAATAAATTTTACTATTTTATTATATAGCAATTCGGAGAAGAAACTCAAGAAGAACAGCATAAAAATTATAAATCTAAAAAGAAAATGAATAATGATCGAAACCCAAAAGATCACATCTGAAATACAAATCAGGGCAAACCCTAATTGCAATTCAAGAAAATTTTCAAAACTCCCTCAAGATAATGATCGGTCAAACAGCAATTGAGTAGATCATCAATAGAAAATAGAAAGAGAACAGGAATATAATTTCAGATACGCACTATATATAAATGTATAATTTTTGAGATCTAGGGCTTACGGATGAAGGGTAAGAACATGAAGAAAAGCAAAAGGCCAGGGTTTCCTCTGAGGAGTTCATTGACGGGAGAGTAGAGAACGGTGACGGAGGAGACGACGGTGGTGAGGAGGATCTGGGCGGAGAGAATGCCGTAGACCTTGCGTATGAAACCCCATCGCAACTGGTTCTCGCCATAGCCAAGACCTGGGTACAGAGTCCCCTCCTCTATGTCCCCCTTCGAGCTCACGCTCGTGAACCCGTACATCTTTTCTCTTTCTTCTTGTTTTCTCTCTCTACAAATTCTTCTTGTTTCCTCTCTCGATCGCAAATATCTCTATCTATATGAATATAAGGTGGTTGTTCTAGTAATAGCTGTATATATATATAATGACTTTTATATGAAGACGCGTGAAGGATGGGGACCTTTTTTTACTCATTCAAAGACTCTGTAAGAATGCATATAATGGATGCGACATTATACCAATACGACCTTACATTAAATTTAAAATTTAAGAAAAAACATGAATTCGATAAATTATGATATAAAATAAAAATTGATTTATTATTTATTATACATGCAAAAATTATTTTAATTAAAATATCTTATGATATGATGTCACCTTGGAGTCAGGAAAGTTTATTTCGGGACAGGGGTGGCTACATCGGATTAGACATTAATACTAATTCGGTCCGGTCTTAACGAATTGAAAAAATCTTAATCTCCCACTTATCCATGGATTAACAGATCGGATATGTAGAATAACGGATTGGATCAAATATGTGGGTTGGGATTTTCTTAAAGCTCCGTTTGGTTAGATGGAAATAAGTAAGAAAAGAAAAGATATAGAAAGTGAATGAAAAGAAAAGTAAATGAAAAGAAAAGAGATTTTCTGGCATTCATTTGGTTAGCATGAAAAATTTATCAAGAAAATTATAGAAAAATATTAGTTTGATGGTTTGGATAGCATGAAAATGAAAAGAAAGTGATTATACATACCAAAACTACCCTTTGAAAGAAAAATCAAATATTTTACCATATATATATATACACATACATTTCCATACACATACAAAAATGACTTGCATTAATATACCAAATTAAAAGTTCAATGATCTTTCAATAAAACATTCATGGAATAAAGTTTTTCCATCAAAATTTAAATAGTAGCACAACTACTTGGGGAGAGTTTTCAAATTTTATTGTATATTCGTTTATATAGAGAGAGAGAGGTGTGTGTGTGTATATATATATATCATACTATGTTTTGTCTCTTATATATATTGGATACTGTGTATATATTTGAAACAAAAAAATGGTTAGATGTAATATTGATCTAAGGCTATTAAACTCATTATTTTAAGTATGATTTGGGATTATGAGGGGGCTAGAATTGCAACATAAAACAGAAAAAAAAAAAAAAAAAAATTATATTTAGAAGGAGCAGTTTTATACAAATTATCATTGATATTTTGTATTAAATGTATAATTTGCATTGCTAGAGAAATGTTGAGAGAGGATTTACCTTTGGAGAAAACTTTGCAACGATTAAGTTATGGGTAAAATTGGAACGGCAAATAAATAAGGGATTTTTTACGCGAAAATAAGGGTTTGTTTGTTTAGTGTGAAGTAAAAAGGAAAAGAAACGGAATATTTTTTTAATTTTTTGGAGTTTGGTTACCTAGAAAGAGAAAATTTTGAGAAAAGTGGATTCCCGTATGGGATAAATTTTCCTAAAATATTTCTCTGCATAAAACACAAGAAAGTTTACTTTCTCGCTCGAAACTGTCATTTAATTTCTAAATTTCCTATTAAGCCCCAATTGAATTGTTTCTCCAATTTTTTTCAAAGAGGTTATTAAGTTAGGCCATCTATATAGTAGGACACATATTTGGATTCATCATATCTAATACCGTCGTTACCTAAATTTTTTTAAATTAAATAAAGAATTGAATAGTAAAATTATATTAGCTTTAATTTTTACCAATATCTCAATAGATATATGAGAAGACATGAATGAGAGTTGGATAAAAATTAAAATAATATTTATTTTTTATTATCTATACAGTTTTGAAACTTAATAGAGTTTTATACTCAATAATATGTGATTTTTGTATAAAAAAATTTGCATGGTTCATGCTCATAAAATATGGGAGTGGACCGATAAATTATGCATGAACCAAAAATTATTATGCATTACCTTTAAAATGTTACTTTTGCATGACCAATTTTATCCTAGAGTATTGTTATTTAGTGTTTCTTTGAGGGACTTGCAAAAAATATTATATTTAATATTCCAATAAAAACACGAGTATGTTATGATAAATGAACTACATTCTACATATGAATATAAATAATTATTATTTAAAACACAAAATAAAAAGAATTTGATAACTAAAATCCAGTCCTCCGATCCTTAGTTTGTTTTAATTTAAATATGAATATAAATAATAATTATTATTATTAATAATCCATCATTTTACTATTTATTTGTTAAAATTTAATATAAATAATTAAGTATAAAGAGGATTCATCTAACACAAAATTAATTTATTTTTAAGTATTTGAAATCATGAGAGTAGTTTTGGTAAGTAAATCATTTTCTTTTTCAGGTTATCCAAACTAGCAAAATAATATTTTCCCACAACTTTCATGAAATTTTTTCCTCCTAACCAAATGCATGCTGGAAACTTGATTTTCCTTTCTTTCACTTAACTTTCTTTCACTTTCACTTTCCATCATACATTTCTGTCTAACCAAACAGACCCTAAGGGAAAAATTTTGGGGGAAAAAACTCAAAACGGGAATCTAAATTTTTCATTACGATTCTCTTTCTATCTATCCAAACTTTAAAAATGTTCTCTTTCCTTTCTTTTCTAGCTGTTCTACCTAACCAAACAAAGCCTAAGGGTTTGTTGGTTAGCATCAACTAGCTGGAAAGGAAAAGAAACGGAAAATTTTTAAATTGTTTTGTAGTTTGGTTAGCGTGAAAATGAAAGTTTTTAGGAAAGTGATATTCCCGTGATTTCCCTCAAAATGTTTCCTCAGTAAAATACTCGAAAATTTCAGTTTCTCGTGAAAATTGTATCATTATAGGTTAGTTTTCAATTATACCCTTGTCAATTATTTCTCTTCCTTTTTTTTTCAGACTCACAAAAGTAGCGAATTTTTTTTATATAAATTAGGACTCCTAATTATATTACAACTTGCTAACTATTTAAATTAGGACTCCTAATTAAGTTACAATTTTCTGACTCTTTAAATTAGGACTCTATATATGTGCACACACATATATTTTTTAAAACAATTATTTATATTTTTTATTATGCTTGTTGCATATAAGGATAGTTTTGGCATATAAATCATTTTCTTTTCACTTTTTTACTAACCAAACTAATGAAACAATATTTTCTCACAAAAGTTTTATAAAAAAATCATGTTAACCATATGCATGATAGAAACATAATTTTCTTTTCTTTCTTCACTTTCTTTTTCTTTCTCTTTCCACCATCAATTTTCGGCTAACCAAACGAACCCTAATAGCCCAATATTGTTATTTTTAATCATGGCTCAGTAGAAAAATTTTCATTTGTCAACATTAATTCATATATTTAAATGATAGAAAATGTTATACTTCACAAATTTGTGATTTTATTTTGAGTTAGGTGGCTGCTTATTTGTCAGCTTATTTAGTTGATTTGTATATTTTAGAATGAAAATTTTTAATATAAGAAATATTTTAATATAGGAAAAAGAGAAAAAATAGCAAAACTTATAATTATAGAATCCAAATCCAAACTCTAATACAATTTAATAATTTGAATTCAATCTTGCCCTGTATATATCTTTTTTTTGGGACTCTTTCTATTAAATTTTTAGGACAATATTATCCTTTTTAAACTTATGTCCCAAAAAGAATGTTGCTCTTTAGGAATCTAACTTTTTAGAGAATGAGCTTTTGTATTTTTTTTATTATATTGATAGTTGTGGAGGGAAAAAAACTCCCTCCAATAAAAAGCGCACACGTCACCACTACCCATATCTACATTCCAATGACATATAAGGTCCATCATGCTCAAGCCCAAATTAAGGGTATTTACAGCCCAAGATCATTGTTATTTATCCTCTAACCTCCATCAAGGCCGAATCAAGAAGTCATCAGCCCAGCTTGTTAATATTTAACATCTGGTATGTTACTCAAGCCCAGCCGGATCAAAATATGTTCAGCCCAGTTATTCAAGAATGCACAAGTCCTACCAGTTGAAGGATTTACTGTAGAAGGAAAATTCTGAGATAGGAAGTTCTGTACAAGGCAAGTTCTATGTACGGAAAATTAGACAATGGAAAGAACTCTATTAGTAAAGAATGTTTATATAGAAAGAATTGGAGGGCAAGCAACGCGAGTCCTACCATAATTTTGCAATCTTTTGTATATAAATAGAGGCTAAGACCTCCAATAAAGAGATCAAGCAATTTACGCTTCTCTATACACTGTTCTTGTTTATTTTTATTGTTTTTTGAGTGAGTTGTTTTATTTTTCTCAATCATTATTGGTTGAGCGAAATTTTGCACCTACACTTTGGCGCCGTCTGTGGGAAACATATAAAAATATACTCCCACTTGTTCTTCAAATCAAATCCTTAGTCGTATCTGGAATGTCAAACGGGGAGTCAGCAATGAATCAACAGATATAATTGATGCAAAAGATGCGAGAGGAGTTCTTGCACCAATTTGAGACACTCCGGCAAGCAAACGATACGAGTGTCGTCCAGATAACTGCGCTTCAGCAGCAGACTCATACGCTGCACACGGCAATGGCCAGGCTAACGCCACAACCACCACCAGGCGATGCTGCAGCACAACCCCCACCCAGAATTTACCTCCAGGTCACGAGCCTCCAGCCAATGGGACACCACCCAATGGGGCTCGACCTAATGAGGTTCAGCAAAAGCAAGGGACGAGGTCCGAGGCGGTTGCTTCGAATAATCTCCCGCGTCGCACACAAGACGAACAGGCCGAGTCCAACCATAGGCTTACGGTATGGTCCAATGGCGTTCCAGATGGCGCACGCGTACAAGATGCCTTCGACGAAAAGAAGCTATTAAGAGTTCAGATACCAGCCGAGATGGCTAGAGAGCACAAGAACTCCTTGGTCAAGACCCCCTTTACTGACGAGGTGTACCTTGTGGAGAGACCAAAGAAGTTCACTATGCCATCCTTCACCCAGTTCGATGGGGCAGGAAACCCCTCTCGGCATCTCGATCATTATGCGCAAAAGATGGCACTGGACGATCATAACGATCCGTGGATGTGTAAGGTTTTTCCTACCAGTTTAACCGGAGCAGCGTTAGAATGGTTTAGGAATAG